ACCACATCATATATACATCTACTGAGATTAAATTCCATCTTGGGTTCCGAGTCTGGTAATTGTGAGCCAGTTTCTGTGAATGATGTGAAGTGGCAGTCGTTATTCGAAGCAAGTAGTTTGAGTGATTGTTCTTCTAATATAGGTTTCGAATCTTGTACTTCTCGGCCATGAGAGCGATGATCGCAGTTAGTCACGAAAGACGTGCTTACGATATGTGTTCACCTCTACGCATCTTTCAACTACTTCACTACAGGACCTTGTTGTTCGGAACTTTGGATGCACGTGGATGTCGAAGTATTTCTGATAGCTCTGGTTGGTATGCTTTGGAGTAGTGCAGCAGTACAATCGAGGCATGAATCGAATGATCTAGGAACATTTCACATTGAGGAGCACAATAGCATTTTGACAACTTCGGAAACTTCTCATATGCTTACCGAGACAATGATGAGTTATCAGCATTACAGGCTGCATATTGTAATAACGATGGCTTAATTGTTGGGTTCATTAAGCAAGTGGGCAAGTCATCCGTCGATAGTAGGAGCTCTTAGTTAGCTATGATTACGACTCGACTCAAGACACACCCATTCGTGAAGTACGTGACATGACTAATGTTTTGACAAGGCCATTTTCATTTTTGGTTTGGATTTTTAGCACAAGTATTTTAACTTACCTTATTATAGTTATATATGTGTGTTCTGACGTTAAAAATGTTTTGGGGGAAGTCTTTTCCATTTTCATTTTTAAGTTCAGCACGAGTTTTCAACCTCTATGTTACTACATATCTATTTTGACGTTATTGTATATTATGTGCATACTTTCGACCTTACGTTATTATATATTTTCAAATTTATATCTTTATAAAGTATATTGTACTTATACACTAATGGGGGAAGAAGGTATGAGCTTGGAGGCATCAAAGAGGAACCATTGCAACCTGCTCGTGACGATATGGCATTTTCCCTTTCATGCAACCGTTCTGACTTGATTTCCTTTTCACATATATATTCTTCTGTCTATCTTTGAATATTTTTGTATATCAAGTTATTTCAAATTTCGTGATGAAATTTTCTTAACGAGGGTAGATTGTAACAACCCGTCCTGGTTTTGGCGAATTAAAAAGGTAAATTGGTAATTTCACTTGGGTTGTGGGATATTTGTTTGAAATATTACTTTTTGGTCTTAAATGGTGTGTCCAAGGGGGCCCACCCCTGATTTTGTTCCCCCGGCCCAAAGTAACTCCTTTCTCTCTCTCTCTCTCTCTCTCTCTCTCTCTCTCTCTTTCTTTCCCTCACTTTTCTCTATTTCTTTCATCTCCCCCCCCCCAAACTCTCTCTCGCAGTGCGCTTCCCTCTGGCGACCCACACACACACCCACACACCCATCTATTTCCCTCAAGGACCAACACATACCCACTCACACCACGATGGCGACGACACCACCAACCGCCCCCCGGCGAGCCTCTCGACCTCTTGACGTGGGAAGAAAACCAAACACAGGTTCTCGGCGTGAGCTGTGGGTTTCAGACGACATTCCCAGCCAACTCCGGCCACCACTTGGGAAACAAAAGGTATATTCATAAACTAATTTTGGTTCTCTTCAATTTGGTGGGTAGGTTAGGGTGAAGAATCGGAGTTGAACGGAGCTCGAGAAACTCCGACCTCCTTTTTCGTTGAAACTAGTCTGAAACCGGGTTGACTCAACCTGGTAACCCAAAACCCGAAACCCTTTAGGCTAAGCCCAGACCCATTGAACCCAGGTCCAGACCCATTTGTTAACACAGCCCAAAACTAAACGCAAGCCTAACTGAGAACCAGAAGCCCAAGCCCAAACCCAGTCGGAGCCTATATCCCAGTCGAAGCATGGGCCTGCGTGTATGCCCCTATCCTAGAAGGCACGTGGAGCACACACGCCTTCACTAGAGGTACTATGCTGGCGATGCCTGCGAATTTTCCAACCAACTTTCCGACAACTCAAATCGGCACGTACGGCGGCGCATGGGGGTACTCGAGGTCCCCTATTATGTTTTTCGACATCCTAAATTCGTTTAGGATGTCTGTTTCCCAAAATTCAATCATTATGATAGAGTTTTATTAATTGGTACCTTTATGTGCTTAGGTGCAATTATTTATGGCATTTTCGTCTTCGCTAGTTCGCACGACTCTTCGACGGCGAAGTATTTAGGAGTGGACCCCTTCTAAAATGCATGATTTTACTATTAGAAATGCATACATGAAAGCATGATTTTATGGCTACGTTTTATGAAACATTTATGAGTAAATTGGATTTACGCTTTATGAAATATCATGCTTTATCGAATAACTGTTATTGAGATTTATGATATGATGTTTGGGCTATTGAGCTCTAATGAGATATAATTTAGAAATATTATGTTTATGATTTTATGTGCTTATATGTGCCTACGGGCGAAAGATACTTATATTGGCTTCGGCCGGGGGTTGTTGTGCTTACGGGCGAAAGATACTTATATTTGGCTTCAACCGGGAGATACTTAAATATGGCTATGGCTGGGTATGAGTTTGTGACTTTGGCAAATTATGATAACATTATTAAGCACTATATATGATATATGTTTTATGAAGTTTTACAGCATGCTGGGGTTTTCAAAAAATCTCTTACATATTATACTATATGAGTTTTCATAAACTTTGGGGGTTAGTAGGTTGTTGAATAACTGTTTTAGTACTACTTATATATCAACTTGGTCCACTCATGTTTTGTTTTGCACCCCCTCAGGACTTAGAATCGAGGCGTACAATCCCGAAGTCAAGACACTTCTGCATCAGCATCTTCGAGTCCTCTTGGTGAAGGACCCATTCCTTTATTCATTCAATTTTATATTGTTCCTTTCTAGTGTCTCGGTTTAGTTGTATGCTCTAAACACATTCCACAATTGCATAATCATTGTATTTAAATTTATAAGTTTTATTTATGTTCGTTACTTCTCATGCATGTTAGTATGGCTTCGTCACCTTCGGGTGTCGGCCAACACATGCTTACCCTAGTGTTTAGAGGATATCAGGGTTGGGCGTGTCAAATGGTACAAACAAATGAAAGGATTTTATTCTGAAAAAACTTGAAGATACCTATGCAGAAGTGCCCTGATGCCGAAATCGAATGCTTCAATTCTAACTCTTGAGGGGGAAGGCTACTAACCCTTGGTGGTGCGCCATCGTGATCGATGCCGAAAAGGCTAGTCATTGTTCTAGGGTTCACAGAGAGCATCGAGTTTTTCATGCTCAAATCTTCAAATATGGTGATCAAAAGGTAGAATTAAAGGTAAGGGTTTGATTGGGTTTGAAGTGAGGAAGAAGATGGTACCGGTCTTGTCGTCAACGGTGGTCGGAGTAGGGAGATACGGCCGGGTCGGGTCGGCAGGTCAAAGAAGGTCCGGTTTTGGCTAGTTTCTCCCTTCCCTCATTTCCCTCATTTCTCTCCTCCCGGACTAGTCAGTACTCCCTCATTTCTCTCATTTCCTTCTTCCTTCTCCAATCATAGCCACACATGTGGTACCCCAGATCAATGCTCCAACAAATCTGGAGCTTTCCAGATTAATAATCGAATAACCATTTTGCCCTTGTATTTGTTCGTTTATAACTTCTTCATTATAACTCCAAATTACCTTCCATTTGCGCTCACACGTTCGTAACGCTAAGTACTACAAGGATACGCCAAGGAAACGAATCTTACACGACACGACAAGGTGGTCAACAAAAGTCAACATTTTTTTCCTCAAAGGGCATTTTTGTAAATTCACGCTTTAAAATTATACGAACCGTAATATTTGGGGACGGGTCATTACATTAAGACTGGTCATGTCGATAAACTTAATTTTCCGATGATTCGATTACAAAGAATTCAACTGGTTTTTCAGTTGCAGAATAAATTTCCCGCTTTTATTAAGGAAAATTAAAGGTATTATTCCTAACTTGAAACCTTTTAAAGATTGAACTGTTATGCTTTGCTTCAAAAGGGTTGCCTTGTTTCATTGAAAAGGTATCCATCACCTGCTTGTGGGTGCTTCCAAACATATATTCTGCAATTTTTGTTCTTATTAAAAAGATAAATGTCCACGGTTTAGCATTGTCAAACAAGTTATTATTAGACTAGCCAAACAAAGTTTTTAGCTAAACACAAGCGATGCTACTTGAAATTTATTCGTCAAGACTCGACATATTTCTCACACGACAAATTTTTGAAGAAAATAGGTCCTGTCAAAATGCACTTCAGTCACAAGTCATTTGGTGGGAAAGGACTGCAGCTCTAGGGTCTATAGAACGCCACTTTTAGTACAAACCATATCATGGACGCAGATCTTCAATCGTATTCATAGGTCGATTAACATCATTTTAACAATATCCGAAACCTAATACAAGCCGACTATAGTGCTTCCGCAATCACATGGACAGTGACCTCTACCTCCACCATGCAAGTATCCTTCACCAGAAACCCCTTGCTTGCCTGAAATTTTAATGATTTTTTTTTTTTTTTTTTTTTTTTTGGGAAAACCTCTGCGGTACGAGGTACCCCTTGCTTGCCTGATTGAAAGTGTCCAGTTTAAGGAACGTAGGCCAACCAATCCGGAATAAAGGCACTAAACCAGTGATCATCTACACAGAAAACATAAACCCTCATGTTATACGGCATCATATACAATTAAACACTCAACGTACCAGGCCGATATTTTGCCTTCTTTAAACTCATGCATGCATTCTTGACCATTGATAGACACTCTCCATTTCCTGTTCTTCTTTCTTTACAAACAAGACGTCCGCTCCAAACACAGTCATCATCTACAAGGGTTGCCTATTTCTTAGTCTTAACTGCCCTCACACGACGAGATTAAATGTTAAAAAACGTGCATGCCAATGGCTCAATATGTTTAACGCATAACATACCTAAAAAGAAGAAAAGCGGCCTTCCAAATTGCAAAAAATCACAAACTTCAGCCAAAATTAATTATACCCTTCAATCACAAGTCATTTGGTGAACAAGGATTTTAGCACTATGGTATACCCACACCTAGACGGTGCTTTTACAATATCATGGACAGTGACAAGGTTTCTAGCAAAACATACGACGTGCCAACTACAGTGCAGTTGCAGTTCCATGGACAGTGACCTCTGCCTCCACTATGCAAGCATCCTTCACCAAAAACCCGTTGCCTGCCTGATTCAAAGTGTCCACCGAAATGAACTTAGACCCCAACTCGGATTTGAGGTACTGAACCAGTCGCAGTCATTAACTAAACATAATACACCCTGATGTTATGAAGGATGCATACAAGTAAACACTGGAATAGGATCTTTACCTTTAAAGCACTCATATCTGGCATGCATTTGATCTACAATGCGCAGGGAATACTCTGCAAATACTTAGGAACCAGGAAGTTTTTCCGGATCATCCAATCCCAAGTAAAGAGAAATATGAGTACCCTTTCCAAGGCTTTTTCCCTTGGAATAGAGAATTATCTTCCTGCAACATTAGGAAGGATATGATGACTTTTTATTACATATCTGTCGTTATTTGGGATGGGACCCAATCACCTCACATCTTTGGGATTGAATTAAAAGCGCAAACTCCTACATGGGAAGCTAAATTTCAACAAGTTCTACAATGATCAACCACATCTAGTGCGAAGGTTAGGTAGTTAAAATTGCATATATAGTTTGAAACTCAAAAATCATATCCTTTTGTTATCATGCAGGTAAAACAAGATGAGTTAAAATTGCATATATAGTTTGAAACTCAAAAATCATATCCTTTGTCACATCCCGGCCCGGGATGGATCACTTCTTGGGCCCATTCCACCACCGTAGCACGATATTGTCCGCTTTGGGCTTACCATTCCCTCACGGTTTTGTTTTTGGGAACTCACGAGCAACTTCCCAGTGGGTCACCCATCATGGGATTGCTTTAGCCCCCTTCTCGCTTAACTTCGGAGTTCCTACGGAACCTGAAGCCAGTGAGCTCCCAAAAGGCCTCGTGGTAGGTAGAGATGGGAATATACATTTAAGGATCACTCCCCTGGGCGATGTGGGATGTTACATTCCACCCCCCTTAGGGGCCCGACGTCCTCGTCGACACAACACGACCAAGGTTAGGCTCTGATACCAAATTGTCACATCCCGACCCGGGACGGATCACTTCCCGGGCCCGCTCCACCACCGTAGCACGATATTGTCCGCTTTGGGCCCCGACCATGCCCTCACGGTTTTATTTTTGGGAACTCACGAGCAACTTCCCAGTGGGTCACCCATCATGGGATTGCTCTAGCCCCCTTCTCGCTTAACTTCGGAGTTCCTACGGAACCCGAAGCCAGTGAGCTCCCAAAATGCCTCGTGCTAAGTAGGGATGGGAATATACATATAAGGATCACTCCCCTGGGCAATGTGGGATGTTACAATCCACCCCCCTTAGGGGCCCGACGCCCTCGTGGGCACACCACGGCCAGGGTTAGGCTCTGATACCAAATTTCACATTCCGGCCCAGGACGGATCAGTTCCCGGGCCCGCTCCACCACCGTAGCACGATATTGTCCGCTTTGGGCTTACCATTCCCTCACGGTTTTGTTTTTAGGAACTCACGAGCAACTTCCCAGTGGGTCACCCATCATGGGATTGCTCTAGCCCCCTTCTCGCTTAACTTTGGAGTTCCTACGGAACCCGAAGCCAGTGAGCTCCCAAAAGGCCTCATGGTAAGTAGAGATGGGAATATACATTTAAGGATCACTCCCCTGGGCGATGTGGGATGTTACATCCTTTTGTTATCATGCAGGTAAAACAAGATGAGTGACAAGAAATTATGACTCTATGAGTGATAAGAGATTATACAGTGCATTAAAAATTTAAAATTGTCTTATTGAGGGTATTAGGGCCTAGCAGAGATACCATTTCCGTTCTCCAGCAGTGAATGTTTCTGATTTGCAGCATTCAGAACCTAACTTTGAAAAGTTCTCAACCTTCCAAACATGCTTGCACTTAACATCATCCTTGATCTTCGAGACTGACTCTCCTTTGCCAGCTTCTTTCCTTACAAACAAAGACCTCAGCTCCAATCACACAATTATCATCAATGACATATCCATTGGAAGGATTAGTAAACGATGTAAGAGTGATAAGCTTATCAAATCCCGAATAACGCATCATCGCATGGAAACATTTTTCCTTTTTATTGGCATCTATGTAATAAGCAAGGTTAAAAATAATGATCAGAAAATGAGCAGGGAGCATTGCAATTTTCAAACAAGAAAAATTTCCGGTCTATAAATATGACCACTTGATGAGAATTAACTTTTGAAGTAGGTAAAATGTACCTTGAATAACCAGGAACATGCCTTTATTCTGATCAAGCAAAAAGAACCTGAAATCAACATATACTTCACATCCATTCTGAAGTGACTCAGCTCTAACCATTTCCAAGTAAACAGAGATATGGCCTTCCACATTTTTCTTCTTGTTTCCATTCGGGTAGAGCACTAGTTTCCTGAGAGCAAACATAAGTATGGCTAACATTTTTTTTACCCGCTTATACAGAACATGAAATACGAAACACATAATTGCATTATAAAAACAGAAAATGTCATAGAACAATGTCAGACAGTGAGGGTGAAACATAAGTTTGCAGAAGATGATATTAAACTCAAACTTTAGTAGATGATATAATGAAGGATTTACCATTTGTATCCTCCAGCTTCAAATTCTCCCGACTCATATTCGTCCTCTAAATTTTTGGTTAGCAATGAAAACGACCTGATTTTTAGAGTGTAATGAGTTGGAGGTGAATCTGAATATGATGTTGAAAACCCTGAAACAAAATAATGTTGATGCAAGCATATATCAGGCATCTATGACATACAACAATATCCTGAAATCTGAAAACCGGTAATATAAAGCAGATAAAGTATCTAACCATTTTGTTGAAAGGGATAACAAGCCATGGTAATAAAATTGAAATTGATTAACAAACTGTTAAAGCTAAAGAGATATCTTTTGCTTCAAGAGGAGCTTCTATATATAAGAGTAATGCTAGGGAGAGATTTTGCATTAAAGAAGGAAGTACGACCATCCAGTGGAGAGATTTTTTACTGCACTCGAACAAAGGATGGTACGCCACATGTCATCATACGTTTGAAGAAAAGAAAAAACTTTCTCAAAGTGTATGTGACATACCATCAGCACAGTGAAAATCTCTCCATGCAATGAGCTTGCTGCACACTAGACAAGATACGTCTTTTCATCTCTCTATACTGTACTCAATAGATTCATACATTGTGCATACCTTGAATTTGGTAAAAATTGAAAGTGAAAAGATTGTATAAAGGAAGACACGTACATACTTTAGTCTTCAAACCATACAAAGGTCTTTCTTCAAATTCCCACACAAAGCACTCAAACCTTTCTTCCCAAGCACAATGAGGCAATATTCATGCCCATTACATTGAAATTTTGAAACGTTGGATTAGCAACATAACTTGAACCTGAGGCACTGAACCAGTTATAATCTAGGCACTGCTTTGCGATAAAAGGAGAATACGAAAAGGTTCTCAGTTACTGCTGTTGCGATAATAGATTTAGGCACTTCTTTGCATCTCTGTTGAGAAATATTGGAAGCCAACTTCAAGTTTTTCTTTTATGCTTTAGCTTTTTCCTTTTGCTTTGCTGTCAACTTTTTCTTTTTGTTTTTCTCCTTTTTTCTTTCACTAATAGTCCTCTCTCCAATGAAAAGGTACAAGAACTTCATACCTAAGTTTAGATATCATTAAAGTTGTCACGCTCCAATCCCCAAGCATGACAAAAAACAAACTAATAGTTCAACAGCGTAGGAACCTTTCATTTTACTTTGTTGTGCACCTAACCATAGGGTTAGACTGCCTACGTAACCTATGAAGCGATCAAGCCAATCATAGTTCATCATTTTGTCAATTGAAAGTTCTGAGAATTTTGAAGCTCATTGATCCCAGATCCAACCAGAAATTTCTGGGAATTGTCTGTCATTGCAGCCCAAAACCAAAACTATCTCATGTCGTACCGAAGCTGAACTGGTACCAAATGGTTCCATACACCTTTGGTTCCACCCCTATACACAGTATCGTACCGGTACCAGAACTTTTTTTGGTTTCAGTTTTGGTTTCACCTCTATCCCTAACCGAACCGTACTGTGCGCAGGCCTATCTGTGACAATAGAGCACCAATGCACATTGCCTCCATGCCGTCAAAATTGGCAGTGAGGAGAGAAGCGTCAATTTTTAGTATGTCAAGACTAAAATAATAACAAAGAAATATAAAATAAATGAAGATGTCAAATCGCTACATAAGCGATTAAATTTAAATTTGATGTTTTGAATTTAATATCTCCTTTAAAGATGCTCTAAGCATATCGAAGTCGATTGCCATTACATTCAAAGAAAGTTCAATGCCAAACGATTCAAACTCATCATCCTCGCAACCATGATCAGCTTGCGGATGTTCTCACCAAGACCCTACCCACGACTCAATTTCATCGACTTGTATCCAAGCTTGAAACAGTCAAATTCCTTGATCAGCTTGAGGTGCAGTATTAGAAGTCAACTTCAACTTTTTCTTTTTTGCTTTAACTTTTTCTTTTTGCTTTTCTCCTTTTGTCTATATTACTCATTGTCCAGTAATTTGGCCTTCAAAGACTCAATTTTTGGAATTTGTAGTGTTATGCAACTTTAGTCCCTAAATTCTAATAGAAGCAGCACCAGTTTTGAACACGACGCATCTTACCTGCAGCTTGGTCAAAGCTAAGGCTACCCATGATGTGAAGAGGTTAGAAACAACAGTGTTGAATTTGTGTTGCTGTTTGCTATCCTTTTTGGTTTTTGCTCAGGAAATATTAACTCGTTAATTGACTGAGACAGAGAAGGAGCTTATCCTTGAAACTTGGTTTATTGATCTCCGGTATATTAGTTTTGCTTCCCTATTTTACACCCCTAAACACTACAAAAAAAAACCCCTTTTCAAATGAAATGATTTCATCAGGTCAAACACTATTTCGTCGCCCAGGGATTTACCTGACGGACATTCGTCGGGCCAAGTTCGTCGCACAAAACCCTTCGCTGAAACATTTGCTTGACAAAACTTTAATTTTTGTCGCTTAAAGTGCGTTTACCAACTTAGCAAGATGAAGATAATGTACCCGACAAACTAGTTGTTGGGCAATCAATTTTAAAAATAAATAAAAAATACATGCTCGACGAACGTATCATCGGGCAAAAGGTTTAATTTTTTTTCAAACCATATTTAGATTAATTAATTAGCTTTAATTATATTAATCTACAAATCTAAAAAAATATTTAATTTTTTTTTTTTTAAACAAACGATAGTATTTACACTAAAGAGAGGGGTGGGTTTAGCCTCACAATGTGCTAGCAATAATGTGGTTCAAATTCACCTTTGACGAGAATCGAACCTAATACCTCTCACATACAAGTGAGAGAAATACTACTAGACTGTAATACTAAGTGGCAATATTTAATTATATTAAAACTGAATTATTCGTGCAACAGTATGTAAAATATTCTAAACTAACTACCAGTGGGGTGGCTAGTACGATGGCGGCTAAAGGTCATCAAATGATCGGGGACGTGTGCCACTTCTTCCCGAGCTTCTTCTTTCATGTGCAGTTCTTCTCACTCATTGGCAACTTCTTCTATTGACTCACTAACTCCATCTCCAATTGTTACAATCTGGAAGACGTCATGCTTGGAAGCTGAAAGCTAGATGAAGAAGATCTCTTGAGGTCCCGAACCCAACCCGCTCATAGACTGCGTAATTCTTTACCTTTCTACCGTCCAACCCCGTCCATCAGTAACTGTAGAGACATTTGTTAATGTTGGGCACTTTTAGGCTCACATGATGGTGTAGATCGGGAAAGAAGCCACATAAAGCCCAAGGGAGATCAAAAAGCACAAGGTTCAATGGGTTTAGGAGAGGATACTTCCAAGCACTAAAGGCAACCACCTATAAGTTCAGCTTGACTAGGATATGTAATGAACTTTTCGACCTCTAGGGGCACGTGGGTAGGCTAACAGCTTTATGACACAAGTCTCCAAGGACATGCCTACCCAGAAGTTAACAAGGCCACGTGACGGATCACATTTAGTGCCAAAGACCTAGGATGGGACGTAAAGTTCAATGCTCGAAGAGATGGGGTTGGATAACCAAGGCCGAGCAGGGTGCTCGACCCGCATCATTATGAAAGGACACGCACTCTCGACCAAACACATGTTACTTCACCGCCGAATGTCTGGTTGATAGGTGAAAATATGTTAGTATGCTAGGCTATGTAGGTGGCGCATTCAATGCCAAGTTGGGAAGACCAAGATTGTGGGGGAGGGGGGGTTCATTGAGGGCCTATATAAAGGGGTGGGAACCTCCTATATTGGGGTTGGACGACTGAAGGGGGGAAAGAGTTCATATATTAGCCGAGTGCTATTTTCAGTCTTGAAATCTATATAATTTGAGCAACACATTGGATGTAGCCCAATTTTGAGGGGTGAACCACTTAAATCTTTGAGTCCATATCCTAATCCCACCAAAGGTTTAGTGTTTTAATTTATTAACCTGTAAATTTTGAGCGGTAGCAATACCTCTGGATCAAGTGCCAACTCCTCCATTGGCATGTCAGGTTGTTGTTAGGAGATATTGGCGAAATGCTCGTCCTTCTTCTACAACACAGAAGCCTACAAAAAAAAAAAAAACCAATTAAGATTATCGGTCCATATTTTTTAAAATTTAAGTGAATGAATTTTGAAATTTCGAGACAAAATGTAAACTCTAAACCCTAAGTCACCAAGAAAAAGGAGACTTGACTAATGAAATATTTAATGAATTTGGATTTGTCCGACAACATGGTTCGTCGGGTAAAGATACCTTCACCGGCGAATTGTTGTTCTGTCAGGCAAAAGTAATAAAAATAGGCGCCAACTTATTTCCCTTGGCGCATAAATTTTGTCTGACGAATTTACTTTGCTCGTCGAAATGTTTCCATCACCTAAAGCCTTTGAAAAAAAAAAAAAAAAAAAAAAACTAAAACGTTGACCAGTTTTGCCCGACCAATGCTTTTATTCCATTGAGTAAAGGCGCTTTGCTCGATGAAATTTGGTTCGTCGGGCAAATGGTAATTTCTAGTATAGCAGGAATTTTTTTACTGTTTTACTATTTGGCTATAGTGCACTAGTAATTCCATGGATAGTGACCTCTGCTTCCACAAAGCATGTATACTTCAACACAAACCCCATGCCTACCTGATTGAAAAATCGCAGTGTTATGAATCTCCACCATCCCCACTCCGAATTTGAGGCACTGAACCAGTAATTTACTACAAGCACCAAAAGTTTTATAAGTTTACGAGTATCTTGGAATCTAACGCACAAGGACGTTACGAACTTTTCATAAAAATTAGAACTAAATGACCCTAAACAACAGATTAAATTGCTGTCTATGTATTATCGTCCTTTTAGTGTTACTCAAAACATTCAGTTGCTTTCTACTAGAAGCCCAACAAGAGTCAACATTTTGGCAACAACCAACCAAAAATTGTGAACATTTTCAGTAGGTTACAAGCATAAATTATCAAACGACTTTCCACTGAACTCAAGTTCAATAGTAAGCATCACCACGTTGTATCGTATGCCATCAAGATTCAAACGCCACGAAGAACTCAAGCGTCGTCGTCGTTCATGGGGTGAATTTCATAAGGGGACCGCAATAAACACCCTTAATTTTGAAGTTTATAACATTTTCATATCCTTATTTCCTCATATGATTATGTAGCAACAGGATTAAGCAAATCTTTACCTTTACCAAACTGATGCCTGGCATGCACCTGTCTAGGAGGCGTAGGATAAACTCTGCATATATTTTACAGCCAGGAGGAAGAGATTTTGGTTCGGCTAACGCCAAATAAAGAGCCAAATGGGCACCAACTCCATTGCCTTTTTAACTTGGGATAGTTCTGTATCTTCCTGCAAAACAACCAAAATATTTGCAAAACTTTTAGTTAAAGGGAATTGTTATTAGCACTCCAAAAATCTCATTTTACACTCCTCACAAGTGGTATTTTTCTTTCTAATTATGGCAAGTTTGGAGTGCCAAATGAGATTTTTGGAGTGCTATTAACAATTCCCTTGTTAAACTTTGCTTAAGTTTCCGATGTCTTTGAGAGAAATTTATTACAGAGGGAGTGAAGTCTAACAAGTTTAGGGTTATATACCATTTCAGGTCTCCGGCAGTAAATACTTTTGAGTTGTAGGATTCGGCGTCTAGCTTTGAGAAGTTGTCAATACTCCAAGTATTCTTGTACATAACAGGATCCTTTACCACATTGATAGACATTGTCCTTTGCCTGTGCGTCGCTCTTTAGAAACAAAGACCTCCGCTTCAAACACACAGGTGTCATCAATGAGGAATCCATTGGAAGCTTCAGTGAAAGCTTTGTGGGAGAGAAATTGATCGAACCCCCAATCGAGTTTCATCCCATGAAAGCGCCTTTCCTTTTGTTCTAAGCAATGCACGGGGAAAACATACAAGAAAATGAGACGATGCTTAGCAAATATGAGAACTATAAGCTTGTTGATTGTTTGAATTGAATGAAAGAAATAGTACCTTGAAAAACAAAGTAGTGGCTGTTGTTCTGAGCAAAAACAACCTGAAAACAGCATACACTTCCGAAGAAATCTGGGGGACATTTGTTCCTGGCATTACCTGTTGGGGTGAAAAAACTTAGAGTACACAACTCTAACACAAGTGTTGGAGAGACAATACAAGTAAACAAATTACTTGTATTATACAAACAAAATATTACAACACAAACTATCAAAGACACTCTTGAGAAGCTATGACACTCACTCACTTTCTAGAGACAAACTCTAGAACACTCACACTCTTACAAGACTATTCTTTCTTCTTACTCTCACTTGCTTGCTTGCTTACAAGCTTGCTTGGTTTGTTACATTGCAACACACATGCATACATATTTATAGGCATGTTTGCCGACATATGGCCTCACTAGAATTTTCTAGTGCATGATCATGCACACACTACACCAACCTAGGCTTTGCATATCAGCCTTGCCGATTTAAATGATGCTAGAATTCTCTAGCATATTATTACACACACATACACACATTTGTTATAATAGCTAGACAATTCTAGCTTGTTCCCACCGACACACTTATGCTAGAAGATTCTAGCATATGAATGCTTTCTCCTTTGTTTCTTCATCATGGGCCAATCTTTATTATTTGGGCTGGTGTTGTACTTTTAACACTCCCCCTCAACACTACCTACCAATTGTCGATACATTGTTGCATCTTCCAAGTCTCTGCCTTCATGTGCACACATCTTGGCATTAGGTTCCACCGGTGTTGAGATTGGCTTGCATTCAAGCATCCTAAACTTCTGCAACAAGTCTTTTGCATACTTTTGTTGACACAGAAATATGCCTTCTTGTGTGCGATCAACCTCTAATCCAAGAAAGTGCTTGAGTTGTCCAAGCTCTTTCATCTTGAACCGAACTGACAAATTTTCTTTTGTTCGACAAATTTCAACCTCATCATCGCCAGTGATGATTAGGTCATCCACGTACACCAGCACGATAGCTAACTTTCCTCCATTAGCTTTAACAAATAAGCTGGAATCTGCATGCGCCACTGAGTAACCACTTTGAGTTAGAAATTCTGCAATTTTACCGTACCACGCCCTTGGTGCTTGTTTTAGACCGTAGAGTGCTTTCCTCAACTTGCACACGTACTCGGGATGAACTTTACTTTCAAAGCCCATTGGTTGCATCACGTAGATTTCCCGATCTAACTCTCCATGCAAGAAAGCATTCTTCACATCCATCTGGTATAGATTCCAATTTTTGTTAGCTGCAAGTGCAAGTAGGACTCGTACGGTTGTAATCTTTGCTACTGGACTAAACGTTTCATCATAGTCTAGTCCATATTGCTGAGAGAAGCCTCGAGCCACCAACCGAGCCTTGTACCTTTCAACTGAACCATCAGGACGACGCTTTATCTTGTACACCCATTTGCAGGATATGGGTTTCACATCCCTTGGCTTTGGCACTAAATCCCAAGTCTGATTCTGCTTAAGCGCAGTGATTTCTTCTTCCATAGCTCTTATCCATTCAGAACTCTGTGATGCTTCTTCAAACACCTCAGGTTCTTTTGGTGCTCCATCAGTTATGGCAGCATTAGCATATTTAGGATTTGGCTTTCGTACTCTTGTTGACCTTCTTAGTTGTGATTGTGGAGTTGATACTTCTACTCTACTAGGTCTAACTTCTTGTGGTTGTTGGTACACACCTGTTTGCCAAGGACTCTTAGGTACTTCTTGCTCGACACCGTCTCCAGCAAGCAAATCTTCAGGCTCATCTGGACTTGATTGGATTTGGGCAGCTTGGTCTCCCAGTTTCCCTTGCAACGTATCTTCAAACTCTTTTGGGTCAAGTGACACCTCATTTTCTGAGCACCAACAAGATGATGCTTCTGCGTCCCATTCTTCCTCCACAGCTAGAGACGCAACGACATCCCAATCATCTTCAATTTTCTTCTCTGAGTTGGCGACGTTACTTTCTGCAGGCCTTTTGAACCAGCAATCCTTCGCCATGTGGCCATTCTTTCCACAATTGTAACACTTGCCCTCAAATCTTTTATTATTCTGGGACTGACCACGGTTGCCGTGATACTTCGGAGCTCCCCCTGGCCGAGAACTCCCTCCTCCTTGATGAACTTTTTCCTTGTCACCATTTCTTTTAGATCCACCACTAGCACGCTGCTTAAAGCTGCCTTTACTTTTGGTGTAGAGAGCTTCCTCCTCACCTTTTAACGAGACCCCTCCCATTTGCTTTGCCAAAGCTTCTTGATCGGCAAGCAAATTCTCGAACTCAACAAGTGATGGTTGGGTCGGCCATCCTTGTACAGCGGCAACGAAGCCTCGATATTCGGGTCTCAATCCATGGATAATTATTCTTTTTATCCTGGATTCTACAATGGCAGCACTAGGATCTAATTCAAAAATTTCATGGCAAATAGACTTTACCTTGTGGAAATACTGCGCAATCGTCATGTCCCTTTAGGCCACTGATAACAACTCGTTCTCGAGAAGCTGCAGTCTTGTATCGTTCCTCTTTGAAAAGAGTGTGGCGAAGGTGTCCCACGCTTCTTTTGGTGTCTTGGCCTTCCGTATGTGCTCCAACATGTCATCTTCAACTGTGGTTTTTAAGGCAAACATGGCCTTACCTGCCTTGATCTTCCACTTCCTCAAAGCGCCGCTAGTGTCTTCTTCTGGCTGCGTAACTTCATTACCGCCGACAACATCCCAAAGATCTTGGCCTTGTAGGTAAGACTCCATACACGTCGCCCACGTGTTGTAATTTTTGTTGTTCAACTTCTTGATTCCTCCAACAACTTGAAGATCTCCCATCGTGTCGGCAGAGCTTCAATAAGCCAAACAAGATTAACAAATAATCTTGCGAAGTACTAAACTTCTCACGATTCTCAAAAGCTTTAATAGAGACGGTCCCTAATCGTACCGCTCTGATACCAATTGTTGGGGTGAAAAAACTTAGAGTACACAACTCTAACACAAGTGTTGGAGAGACAATACAAGTAAACAAATTACTTGTATTATACAAACAAAATATTACAACACAAACTATCAAAGACACTCTTGAGAAGCTATGACACTCACTCACTTTCTAGAGACAAACTCTAGAACACTCACACTCTTACAAGACTATTCTTTCTTCTTACTCTCACTTGCTTGCTTGCTTACAAGCTTGCTTGGTTTGTTACATTGCAACACACATGCATACATATTTATAGGCATGTTTGCCGACATATGGCCTCACTAGAATTTTCTAGTGCATGATCATGCACACACTACACCAACCTAGGCTTTGCATATCAGCCTTGCCGATTTAAATGATGCTAGAATTCTCTAGCATATTATTACACACACATACACACATTTGTTATAATAGCTAGACAATTCTAGCTTGTTCCCACCGACACACTTATGCTAGAAGATTCTAGCATATGAATGCTTTCTCCTTTGTTTCTTCATCATGGGCCAATCTTTATTATTTGGGCTGGTGTTGTACTTTTAACATTACCAAGTTGAGAGAGGTTCTTTCACATTCATGTTCTTGTTTCCGTTTGGATAGAAAACCAGTTTCCTGCAGCAAAACAACAAATTATACTATTATAAATTAAGCAGCTCAAATAAGAAGAAAATACTAGTAATTGATGGAAAGTTTATGAAAAAAGAAATAGTAAGAATTTGTTCTTAGAAACTGAGACTTCTAAGTCCCTGGATTCATATTTCTCTAGTGAATTTTTGGAGAGCAATGAACCCGACTAGATTTTACTGTGTAATTAGTTGGTGGTGCATCCGAAATTGTTCTCAAAATCCCTGAAATAAATGTGTACATTAGTTACTGCTTTCAAGTCCAACACACCCAGGCAAACAGATGGAGCATCTTACCATCTTGGTCATCGAAGTTAAGACTGGTCATGTTAATAAACTTCATTTTCCAATAATCGATTACAGATAAATCAACCGGTTTTCAGTTCTAGAATCAAATATGTTTTCCCGCCTTTACAAGGAAAAGTTAAAGGTGTTATTCCTAACATGAAACCTTTAAAGATTGAATTGTTATGCTTTGCTTCAAAAAGGTTGCCTTTGTTTCGTTGAAAAGGTATCCATCACCTGCTTGTGGGTGCTTCGAAACACTTCTGCAATTTTAATTCTTATGCAAAGGAACAATGTTTATGGTGTAGCATTGTCAAACAAGTTAAGGTTAGACTAACCAAACAAAGTTTTTAGCTCAACACAAGATAAGCTACTTTAAAATAACTGGTCAAGACTCGACATATGTCTCACAGGACAGATTTTTTAAGAAAACAGGTCCTATCAAGATACACTTCAATCACAAGTCATTTGGTGGAAAGGATTGCAGCTCTAGGGTTCTACAGAACGCCACTTTTAGGACAAACCATATCGCAGATCCAGAACCACATTTGTATTCACAAGTCAATTAACATCATTTTCACAATATCCGAAACCAAATACAAGCTGACTATAGTCCTTCCGCAATTCCATGGATTGTGACCTCTGCCTCCACTATGCAAGTATCGTTCAACAGAAACCCCTTGTGTGCCTGATTGAAGGTTTCCAGTTTAAGGAACGTAGACCAACCCCAATCCCGAGTTGAGTTACTGAACCAGTTGTTAGCTGCACATAATACACCCTGATGTTATGAACGATTCATACAATTAAACACTGAAATAGGACAATCTTTACCTATAAACCACTCATGTTTGGCATGCATTTGATCTACAATGCGCAGGGAAAACTCTGCAAATACTTTGGAACCAGTAACTTTTTCCGGATCATCCAATTCCAAGAAAAGAGAAATATGAGTACCCTTTCCATCGCCATTTCCCTCAGGATAGAGCAGTATCTTCCTGCAACATTGGGAAGAATATGATGACTTAATATTACGTATCTCTCGTTAATTGGGATGGGACCCTATTCACCTCACCTCTTTGGGTTTGAATTAAAAGAGCAAAGTCCTACATTGGAAGCAAAAATTCAACATGTTTTACAGCGATCAACCACATCTAGTGCGAAAGTTGTGTAGTTAAAATTGTATATATAGTTTGAAACTCAAAAACCTTATGCTTTTGTTTGGAGGAAAATTGACTTTAGCTAACAAGGGTGATTAGTACTCTATTATCATGCAGGTAAAACAAGATGACTGATACGAGATTATGCCGTGGATTAAAAATTAAAACTTCTCTTATTAAGGGCATTAATAAAAAGGGCCTAGAAGAGATACCATTTTCGTTCTCCGGCAGTGAATGGTTCTGAATCGCAGCAGTCAGCACTCAACTTTGAAAAGTTCTCAACCTTCCAAACATGGTTGCACATAACACCAACCTCGATCATCGATATTGACTCTCCTTTGCCAGCTCTTCTTTCTTTACAAACAAAGACCTCAGCTCCAATCACACAGGAATCATCAATGACATATCCATTGGAAGCATCAGTAAACGATTTAAGAGTGATAAGCTTATCAAATCCTGAATAACGCATCATCCCATGGAAACATAGTTCCTTTTTATTGGCATCTATGGAAGATGTAGGGTAAAAAATAATATCAGCAAATGAGCAGTGAGCATTGCAGTTTGCAAACAAGAAAAATTTCCAGTCTATGAATATGTTCACCTGATGAGAATTAACTTTTTAAGTTGATATAATGTACCTTGAAGAACCAGGAACGTGCCTTTATTCTGATCAAGCAAAAAGAACCTGAAATCAACATATACTTCGCATCCCGTCTGAAGTGAATCAGCTCCAACCATTTCCAAGTAAACAGAGATGTGGCCTTCCACATTTTTCTTCTTGTTCCCATTCGGGTAGAGCACTAGTTTCCTGGGAGCAAACATACAGTATGGGGCGTATGGCTAACATTTTTATTTTAACCAGCTTACACAGCACATGATACACGAAAACACATCATTGCATTACAGAGAAAATGTCATAGAACTAATGTCTGACAGTGAGTGTGAAACATAAGTTTGAACAAGATGATATTAAACTAAAACTTTAGCGGATGATATAATTGGAGAATTACCATTTGTATCCTCCAGCTTCAAATCCACCCGACTCATATTTGTCCACAAATATTTCGGTTAGCCATGAAAATGACCCGATTTTTAGAGTGTAATGAGTTGGAGCTGAATCTGAATACGATGTTGAAAACCCTGAAACAAAATAGTGTTGATGAAAGTGTATATCAGGCATCTCTGGCATATAACAATATCCTGAAATCTGAAAACCGCTAATATAAAGTAGATAAGGTATCTAACCATTTTGTCGAAGGGGATTACAAGCCATGGCAATAAAATTGGAATTGATTAACAAACTGTTAAGGCTAAACAGTTATCTTTTGCTTCAAGAGGAGCTTACCTATATATATAATGCCATTAGAGAAGGAAGTACGAGCATCCAATGAAAAAATTTTCAGTGTGCCCCGAACAATGTGGTATGCCACATGTCATTACACTTTAAAAAAAAAAAAAAAAAAAAAAAAACTTCTCTCCAATTGTATGATGATATGTGACATACCACTCCATGTTTCAAAAATCTCACCATACAATGAGCTTGCTGCAGATTGGACGATATGTGTCTTTTCATCTCTCTATACTGTAGTCTGTACTCAATAGCTTCATACACTGTGGATACCTTGGATTTGGTAAATTTGAATGTGAAAAGATTGTATAAAGGAAGACGAGTATACTTTAATCTTCAAACCACACAAAGGTCTTTCTTCAAATTCCAATACAAAGCACTCAAATCTTTCTTCCCAAGCACAATGAGGCAATATTGATGCCCATTAAAATGAAAATTTGGAACTTTGAATTAGCAACATAACTTGAACCCGAGGCACTGAGCCAGTTATCTAGAAGAATATGAAAAGGTTCTTCTCAGTGCTGTTGCGATAATAGATTTAGGGACTGGTTTGCAGCTCCATTTAGAGGATTTGAATCTCATCTGGATCCTCTTTGTGAGGATTCCTATCCATTCATCGTACATCGTGCGGTCAGAAATCATTTTAATTTTTTTTTATATAAAATTGAACACAAATAGTACCTAACGATAACTGACCGCAAGATGTATAATGAACTGAAAAGATTTGAAGATCTCTAAGATCTTCATAAAAAGGATTCGAAGAGAATCCTCATCCCCTTTGAGAAATATTGGAAGCCAACTTCAACTTTTTCTTTTTTTCTTTAACTTTCTCTTTTTGCTTTGTTGTCAACTTTTTCTTTTTGCTTTTCTCCTTTTTTTTCTTTAACTCACAGTCGTCACCTTAGGGTAGAGGTACAAGAACTTAGTACTTAAGTTCTGATACTATTAAAGTTGTCACACTTTGATCTCAAGACATGATAAAAATAAACTAATAATTCAACAGCGTAAAAATCTTTTATTTTATTTTGTGGCTACTATAAACATGTAAATTTCATTGTATACAAATGATGCATCACAAAGCTCCACGTAGCATATGACTCATCACAAATAGACAAGTCATCAATAACATGTGGCACAAATCAAGCAAAGGAAGCTCAAAACTTCCCCGAAATTCGGCAAAAGGGGGGAATCTCTCCTTAAAATTGGCAAGGGGCCCAAATTGCTCCCAAAACCGGAAAGAAAGCTAAAACATCTTCACAAAACAAGCAAGAATTGAAGATTGCTCACAAAATAGGCAATAAGCCCTATAAATTTCGGCCAAGCAAGGGATAGTGGTTGAAAACAAGACACAAAACATGCCTAAATCCTCCCATGGACGAATTAAGACACAAATCAAAGCCAAATCTACTCAAAGGCATGGCTTTGGACATCTATAAATACAAGGTCCTCAGACAAACATAAGGTGGACAATTTCTACATTCAAGGTCGACAATTTCTACATTGAAGGGCCGAAATTCTCACATTGAGAAGAACCATTGCCAAGTCTTTGAAGACTAATACGTTGTCAAAGCTCTCTTCAAAGAAAGCACAACCAAAGTCGAAGTTTTCTTTCGATCAAAGCCGAAGCATTCCCTTGAAGAATCAACAAGCACTTATGCAGGCATGGGGCCTGGAGTGTGTTTCCTCTGGCTGTTAACACAGGGACAGGGAGCCGGCATGGGGCCTGGGGGTTATCGGACATTCACTAATGATTATTATATATACGAGTTATGATTTGAGACATTGCACGGCATGCTAGGTTTCGGAAAACCTATGTTTATCATGATATATATGTGTTTTCATAAAACCTGAGGGTTAGTACGTTGATAACTGTTCTACTATATATATATATATATATATATATATCAACTTGATCCACTCATGTTTGTTTTGTGCCCCCTTCAGGACTTAGAATCGAGGCATACAATCTCGGCATCCAGGCACTTCCACATTGGCATCTTCGAGTCCTCTCGGTGTAGGATCCATCCTTTGTTTCATTCAATTTTATATTATTTCTTTTAGTGTTCTAGTTAGTTGTATGGTTTGAACACGTTCCTTAAATGCATATTCATTATTCTTTTATATTTATAAGTCTTATTTATCCCTTGTTTTCAGCATTTGCACTCAATAAATGGCTTTCGTCACCCTTAGGTGTCGACCAGCACGTGCCTATCCAGGTATTCGAGGAATATCTAGGTCGGGGCGTGTCAACTATGATTTATGGGCTCCTAACAATGTGCAGGAGACCTTAGCAATGTGCAGGAGACCTTAGCAGATGTCCGCTGGAAAGAAGCAATGAATGAGGAATGGAGATCGTTGAAGAAGAATGCTACTTGGGAAGTAACAGACTTGCCAGCTGGCAAGAAACTTGTGGGATGCAAATGGGTCTATACAGTGAAATACAAAGCAGACGGAATAGTGGACTGTTTTAAAGCAAGGTTGGTGGCAAAAGGGTATACACAAAAGTATAAGATTGACTACATTGATACGTTCGCACTTGTGGCTAAAATCAACACAGTCCAAGTTTTAGTATCTTTAGCAGCAAACTTAGATTGGTCGTTCCAACAGTTTGACGTAACAAATGTCTTCTTACATGGAGATTTAACCAAGAAGATCTATATGGAACTCTTACCTGCAGGGAGCAATGTTCCTGATAGGCATAGACAAAAGGTGTGTAGGCTCAGGAAATCATTGTATGGGTTGAACCAGTCTCCGAGACCATGGTTTGGTAAGTTTACCAAGTCAACGAAAGCATTTGGATATAAGTAGAGTAATTGTGACCACACGCTGTTCTTAAAACATCGGAATAGGAAGCTTATAGCACTCATTGTATATGTGGATGATATGATAGTTACTAATAACAACCTTGATAAGTGTGCAACCTTGCAGAAGTATTTAGCTACAGAATTTGAGATGAAAGATCTGGGGTCTCTAAAATGTTTTCTCGGGATTGAGGTGTCGCGGTCTGAATCAGGAATTTTTCTATCACAAAGAAAATATATTATTGACCTGTTGAAAGAAACTGGTACGTTTGCATGCAAACCTGTGACTACTCCGTTGGTAGAAGGAATGAAGCTGAGTATTGATCCTAACCAAGTACCAGTTGATAAAGGAAGATATCAAAGACTAGTTGGAAGATTAATGTATTTGGCACACACTAAGCCAGATCTTGCACAAGCCTTTAGTGTAGTTAGTCAGTACATGCATGATCCAGGAGAACAACATATGAGTGCTGTTATGAGGATATTGAGTTATTTGAAAGGAAGTCCGGGAAAAGGTATCTTATTCAAGAAGAATGGTCATTTCAGAATTAAAGGTTACACGTATGTTGACTAAGCTGGTTCGACGGATGGTATACGCTCTACATCCGGTTATTTTACCTTTGTTGGTGGAAATCTGGTCACATGGAGAAGCAAGAAGCGGAATATAGAAGTATGGTGCTTGGTATTTATGAGATTTTATGGCTTCAGTTTCTATTACAAGATTTGGGTGTTAAACAGAGTCAGCCGATGAGATTGTTTTGTAACAATAAGGCTGCTTGTGATATTGCTCACAATCTTATGCAACATGATATAACCAAGCATCTAGAGGTTGACAGGTTCTTTATTAAAGAAAAGAAAGAAGGGAAAATAATTGAAGTCCCTCCAATCAAAACAAAAGATCAAGTAGCGGACATTCTCACCAAAGCAGTCTCAAGTGAAAAGTTTTCTAAGTTTGTAGACAAATTGGGCATGTGTAATATATATGCACCAACTTAAGAGGGAGTGTTGACTTGTAAATAGTTTCCTACAATTTAGGATTCCTTAGTTAAGGTGATTCCTTGTAATATGGGATTGTAATTATTGTATTTATCCTTTTCTTTTTATGTCAGCGCTACGATTGTATATTGTACCTCAGATTGGGAATAAAAAATACAATTTCAACGCATTCTCTTCTAAAACCACCCTTAATTTAAAAGTTTGTAACTTGTTCAAATCCTTATTTCCTCATCTGATTAAGTAGCAATAGGATTAGGCAAATTTTGTCTTTACCAAACTGATGCCTGGCATGCACCTGGTTTAGGAGGCGTAGGCTAAACTCTGCATACATTTTCCAGCCACGAGGAAGGGATTTCAGTTCAGCTAACGCCAAATAAAGAGCCAAATGAGTACCAACTCCATTTTCTTTTCCCTTGGGATAGAGCTGTATCTTCCTGCAAACCAACCTACACATTTACAAATTTTTACTTGGTAGTGCTTAGGTTTACAATGTCTTCGATATAAATTTCTTATACAGGGAGCGAAGTCTAACAAGTTTAGGATTATATACCATTTCTGGTCTCCGGCAGTGAATGTTTTTGAATTATAGGATTCCTCGTCTAGCTTAGAGAAGTTTTCAATCACCCAAATATTCTTGTACATAACAGGACCCTTTACCATCGATAAACACTCTCCTTTGCCAGTGCTGCTCTCTTTAGAAACAAAGACCTCCGCTCCGAGCACACAGGTGTCATCAATGAGGAATCCATTGGAAGCTTCAGTGAAAACACCTTGGGGGACAAATAGATTGAACCCCCATTCGAGTTTCAACCATGAAAGCACTTTTCCTTTTGTTCTAAGCAATGCACATGGAAAACATATAAGAACATGAGAAGATGCTTTGCTAATATGAGAACTATATGCTTGTTTATATTTTGAATTGAATGAAAGAAATAGTACCATTAAAAACAAGGTAGTTTCTGTTGTTCTGATCGAGCAAAAACAACCTGAAAACAACATACACTTCTGAATAAATCTGGGGAGCATTTGATCCTGAATTACCAAGTACAGAGAGGTGTGGTCTGTCACATTCCTGTTCTTGTTTCCATTTGGATAGAAAGCCAATTTCCAACAACAAAACAACAAATTATAGTAGTCTAGATTAAGCAGCTCGAAAATAAGAAAATACTAGCAATTATTGCAAAGCTTACGAAAAAAGAAATAGTAAGAATTTGTTTCTAGAAATTGAGAGAAAGGATTGTACCATTTGTATCCTCCGGCTTCAAAGTCCCTGGATTCATATTTCTCCAGTGAGTTTTTGGTGAGCAATGAAACTGACTAGATTTTTACCGTGTAATGAGTTGGTGGTTATTACACAATATAGAGTGACTGATGCTGCATATGACTAATGCTGCATATGGATATTAGACGATATGGGGTGACTGATGCTGCATATGACTAATGCTACATATGGATATTAGATGATATGAGGTAACTGATGCTGCCAGATTTTATGTTCCCTCTTTCCATGGGATTCTCTATTAAGTCTAATCCCTTAATTTGAGGAAGATTGACATCTAAATGACTTGTTGATAATTGTGTGCTAGCCACTTGCTGCACTCCCTTAATTTAAGGAGTGACAGCTTTAGGGTTTACCGGGTTAGTAGGATTTGCCAAGGTAAGGTTGCTTGTAACCTTCTACCTCATTATATATCCCCCATTGTACATTCAATCAATCTATGAAAAATACATTC